ACGCTGGTACTCCGTATCCGTTGTGTTCGTAGATGGCTCTGCTTATTGAGGGTTCGGTTCTGGTTCCGGCGAACGTCAAGCTGAAATCTTTGAGATTCTTGATAGAGCGCAGGATCATGGCGACATGCTTCGAGTGAATAGCGCTATTCTCGATGTGGAGATACTCGATAGGTGAGCTTCGAGGCGGGAGCCTTGCCAGCTGTGCGCATCGTGCCAGGGAAGGATTTATCGGTCTCACAACTCCGTGATTGAATCTGTCCCTATCCACGAGCTCGCCTTTGAAGCTCAGTGTACGTAGAGCTGGTAATCGAAGGGCATACAAAAGCGCTTCCAAGTCCACGTCTTGATGGCCAAATCGTAGCGTACGTATGTTGGCGAAGCGCTCAACAAGTCTGGCATCGGGGTATCGCCTCAGCGTGGACCATAGAGATGGCCCGTATTTGCCGTTGCTCATGCGAAATCGGAAATCCGTGTCCATAATTTCCAGGGCTTCTACCCGTGGAGTGAGCACCAAGACTAGAGCTAGTGCGGCACATTTATCCCTCCAGTCGCTAGACTTCCAGTGCGACGGGATATTGGATATGTTGAATACCCGTGCGAGATTTGGTGTACTCAACGGACCCGACAGCGCTCCGTACCATTTGGGAGTTTCGCTTGGCTTTTTGTCCCATACGAGTCGCTTGATGTGTGTGACTATAGTGGGATCGTTCTCTAGACGCTGAACGAGCTTTCTGCAACGAAAGTGATCGGTCTTGATGGTTTTGTAGAGGTAAGACTCTGTGAGTCGGTTGAACTGGCGGCTTGTAGCGGATAGAGAGAGGAGAGTCTGTATGGTGCCGGGGACGTATTCTTCATCGATGCCGGAGCCGACTTGGTCTAGGATTCCGCAAAGGAGTTCTTCAGGGAAATCGCTCAGGCTGCACTTAGACAGCTTGGAGTTCGACATGATGAAAGAACAGGGGTTCTGTTCTTGACTGCTTGAGATTGCGGATGTACTATAGCAGTTTTGCTTAGTAGTGGTGACCGAGAGAGGGGTTTGTAAGTTGTGAGATGAATAGGTATGAAGTAGAAGTAGAGAGCATTTATAGGGGAAAGTCTCTTACAAAATTATCACATAAAATTCTGCTCGCATGACCTACATGAATATTCAAGCTTTGGTTGTGTGGTCGGATGCCAAACTGCCGTCTTCTTACTGGTAGTTTGAAGTTCCTATGGAAGCGATGAGGGAAACGTCTGGAATGAATAGAGTGCACTGTTAACTCAGACTGCAGCCTGGTCCTAGTTCAGATGAGTCATTAAGAGTGTACTCTGGTATACAACATAATTGAGATCGCTTTGGTGTTGTTTGCTGGAGTGTTCGGCGTGTCACCGCAGTACCGTGGTTATAGGAAAGGTCCACCGTGCTGGGCTAAGTCGAAATCCCCTACGAATGACAAGATCCTGTTCATGGCAGTCAACCAAAGTACATCCTGATACAGGTCGCAGGGTGTGTAAAGTAGGTATGCCCGCACGCTAACCTAGGAAAAACCTGAACACCCTAGAGCCTACGTTGACGTTGGGCCACCCACATTGCAGGTCTTTGTCTTGATGTAGTCCGCAGGCCTGTTTAGGCTTTTTTCTTGTATGAGTGCGCAGGTGCCCGGGCAGATCGAACCACGTGATGGCGTTGCCTAATCGCGTTTGGTGACGTAAGTCTTGGCAGGGTATGTGGAGCCTTCCAAGGCTGCGCCCACAGACCTTAATCACGACACACAGTCTGAAAGTTGGCACATGCGGGAAACACTTCACGTAATTTTGTTGTGACTAATTCTTTTCTTCGAGCGATGGCTTCGAATTGGGCTCTCTATCAAATGCGCTGGAATACATACAATGCGACCGTCATTCGTTCATCATCACCACCTCGTTCTTACTGCGATGATCCACCGGAGATGGTCAGCACTTGACCGTTGACCCAGCCACCGTCCGCTGATGCGAGGAAAGCGACGACCCTCGCAACATCCTCAGGTACTGCGCACCTTCCGAGCGGGCAGTGGTTTGCCATGAGCGTCTCAATCTTCTCCGCTGGCCAGTCAGGCGAACCGCCGGGGATGTAATGCCAGGCGTTCTGTGTGAACATGTCCGACTTGATACCTCCTGGTGCAACACCGTTGACGGTGATGCCACGCTTTCCGAAGTCGGTCGCGAATGCCTTGATGAAACCGATGACGGCCATCTTCGAGGCGTTGTAGAGCGCGTGGTCCTTGACACCGAGAAGACCGGCAGCAATGGAGCTCATCAAGATGATGCGGCCGTTGTCCTCGATGTGCTTGTATGCGGTTTGGCCAACGAAGAATTGCGCTCTTGTGTTCAGGTTGAATACGTGGTCGTACTTCTCCTCGCTGATCTCCTCTGTCACGTCCCAGCTCTCGGTTCCTGAGTTGCTCATGACGATGTTGATCTTTCCGAATGCCTTCTTCGCCTCCTCAAATAATCTGTTGATCTCACTGACTTTGCTGACATCGGCCTTGATGGCTACGGCTTTGGCACCGTTGTTGAAGCCCTTGATGATTTCGCAGACCTCGTTCGCTGGGCCTTCGGATGAAACGTAGTTTACGATGACGGAGGCGCCGCGCTTGCCGAGCTCGATAGCACAACCCCTTCCAATACCGCGACCGGCACCGGTGATGAGAGCGACTTGTCCCTCGAGGGAGGCGGTGGGAACGTTGATGACCATTTTGATAATGTGTTGGTGTCTAGATGATTATGGGACGGTGGATGATGGAATATAGAGCTTCAAGATAGGGAGCTTGAAGATGCTGAAGTGGTGGGTGAAGATGGATTGGGTATACTGATTACCTTTCTCATCTTGCGCTGCCTCTTTATAAACATCTTGGATGTTCAGTCTCAGCATTGAAACAAATGGTGTTCACGGTATGCGGGCACGGGCGGGGATCCGAAGAAACGAACACCGAAAATAGCTGCTTCAGGGACCTGCGGCTCTACACCTTCGCGCCCGAAGCGCTGGTCGTTTTAGCTACACACAGCTAAACCTGCCGGTAGACTCTGCACTCCCGTTTCCAAATGTCGTGGATGAAGTGCCGGCTGTCGTGCGGACGTCGGAAGGGGGAGGGGCCATGGTTAACCCCCGAATGAGGGTGTTCAGATCTGCCATGGAGATGCGAGACGAAGTCCGGCGTCGCAAGCAATTCTATTCATACCATCGGTCTTGTTCATAAGCGTTTACACTGCTATCAGGTGCGACGTCGAAGTTCGAGTTTCTTCGCAGCTAAGCTCTGATCGTCGGCCTGGCACGATGCAGGGCGCATCAGCGGATCTACCCATGGCGCAGGTACCACTGCCAGTTTGACGGACTTTGCCATTGCCCTGCAGCGTTCGCGGACGACGTTTGCAACCGTTCTGTCGAAGAAACGGCCATGCGAAAACAAAAATGAAAGCGCAGAGGTGTTGACGCGAAGGATGAGGCGGTGACTGCCTGCCACGGGCGTCGGACTTATTGGTAGCGCACGTCACTGTCTGCCCCTCTGCATCTCCATCTCCAATCCACAACACAGCATCGCCAGAACCCGCTGCACTGTCCACATAAGCAATCATGCATATTCTTGTAAGACTGTCGTATCTTACTAAGCCAATGGCAAGTACTGATCGATCTAGGTTACCAACGATGATGGCCCGCCATCAGACCAGTCCTCACCCTACGTACATTCGCTGGTGTCAACACTGCAGAAGCATGGACACACCGTTTCAGTCGTTCTCCCGCATACGCAGAGGTCATGGATAGGCAAGGCACATCTTGTGGGCAAGTCGGTATGACACACCACTTCTACTACGCCGCTCGCCATACTCACTGCCACAGATACAACCGACATACTACCGCCCTGCGCCCCTCCAAACCAACGCCGAAGGACGTCTCACGAACCATGGCACAACCCATAACTCGCCTCTACCGCCCTCTTCTAATGAAGAAGAATGGGTACTCGTCGACTCGACACCTGCGTCCTGCGTACAGATCGGTCTCTACCACTACTTCTCCGACCGCGGCCCGATCGATCTCGTAGTCAGCGGCCCGAACTATGGTCGCAACAGCACTGCCATCTTCTCGCTATCATCAGGCACAATAGGCGGCGCGATGGAGGCAGCAGTATGCGGCATGAAGTCGATCGCCCTCTCGTACGCGTTCTTCGACCGCAACCACGACGCCAAGATCATCAGCGACGCCAGCGAGCTCAGCGCAAAACTCATACAACACCTGTGGGACAACTGGGACACAAACACACACCTCTATACCGTCAACGTACCGTTGGTAGAGAACGTGGGAGAGCGCAAGATCCTCTGGACGAACATGCTGCAAAACTCGTGGAAGAGCGGAAGCTGTTTCCAGGTCGTTGAAGTACCTTCCGAAGCAGACGACACACCCTCAGACATCGAGGGCCAGATTCGCAAACAAGAGGAGAAGTTTGGCAAGAAGGAGCTGAAGGCGAACTCGGAGATACAGGGCGGCGCGTCTGGCACGGACAGTGGACGAGAGACGCCCTCGGGCCAGGCGCATATGCGGTATACACACAAGCACTTCAAGTGGGCGCCGACGTTCAAGGACGTATATGAGAGTGTTGAGGCTAGTGAGCCGGGCAATGACGGATGGGCAGTCGCGCAGGGATACACGAGTGTGACTCCGTTACGAGCGAACTTCATGCATGTGAATGGGTTCGAGGGAGAGATCAAGCTGGGTGGTGGCTCATCGTAGACTTGGTTCCTGATAATACAGTCAATCGAAAGTGGGTATGTTAGTGTCAACACATAGGCACAGGCAGCTCAGACTCTGGACTCACCCCTCTGATTCACAGCTACTAGTCCGCAATCCAGTCATATCATCAGCACAGTCCGTGCCGACTTTTCGATAAAACGAAATGCAGCATCACTCTTCACTCATACGAGTACCTCAGAAAGACATCCTTTTGAACAACCAACGCTCTCAGTAACCGTGCGACACTCGCCTATACAATATGACGAATGAGCCACAGAAAAGTCGATTTGACGCCCAAGTGTCTTCGGCTTTTACGAACTATGACGAGGTTGACGACATCAAAGGCGCCCGGGACCTTGCAAAACGTCACATGGACAACTTCACTGAGATCTTGGGCCGTTTCGATAAGACCGATGGGCTGGCATACACTCATCTCCAGACAGAGTACGATTGTTTGAAAATATGGGGAATAGACACTGGGTTGTATCAATACGAGAGAAATAAGCCAAAGCGCGACTTCCGTAACCTTTCTTCCGTTGCAAAATCATCGATTATTGGCTCCCTCGAAGACATGGAAGTCCAAATGTACCTCATGGACATAACCGTCCCCAATAAGAAGCAGTCTTCTGCAAAAAGACTCCATAAATTCCTACCCAGGCCGTTTCTGGGCTTGTGGGTCGATGGACTGAGGTGCATCATCGTTACTCTGGAACTATCAGTCGATCTGGAAGATGAATCGAACGCCAGAAGAGGCGATACGAGTCCTAATCTTAAGACGCTTTTCCGACGCTGTGCAGCCGGATACACGACAGTTTTCAAGCGTATCAACGAAGGAAGCTCGAGTCTGGAGGACAAGCTACCCACCGGACATATGAAAGGCCCGCGTAACAGCTTCATCAGATGGGGCCGTGAAACCGGAGTTCTTCTTGATGGCAAGAGCTCTCTGGAGACCAAATTCGTCGACTCGGACAAGAGCGAGAGCAGGAGTCAAATCGTCAACAGCCTGTTGAGCATCGAGTCGGCCTTGGGAGCGATGTCTGGGTTACTACCGGAGAAGCGTGTTTCGGGAAAGGATCTTCCGGCAGCAGATGCAGACGAGAATTCGAACCTTAGCCTTACCGAACGGGCGAAAGGCCTGACAGAGCAAATAATGGTACTCCAACGATGTAACGAATCTCTGGCGAAAGCCGCAAAAGCTCTTGTTGATTATTCGATCGGATCGAACGGCTCTAACGCGGGGGCTGTAGATAATACTGCAACAGATACTTGACGATGAAAGAAGGGTGTGGCATCGATGAGAGAATGACCAGCAGCGGAAGCGGTGGGCATACAAGAGAGCCTTTATCTAATGAATCATTGCTGCTGGTATATGATATTCATGTAAACGGGTTTGACGGAGAAACTGAGTCGAATTGGTCACCATGAGGTTAGATATAACAAGATCTGTGATTCATTCATAGAAGAGCCTACGGTGCGAGATTTTTAGAGTCACGCTTATGATTCATGACGACTGCAGATGAATTCAGACTGGTCATACATACTTACTGCACAGTCATTGTAGGTATTTAAGAGGATGAATAGCCGCATAGACTTTCCGCTCTCACCAATACTTCCGAAAGACATCTTTCTACGATGGCTCGCTTTCCAAAACCACATCGAATCAGCCCGTACAATAAAGCAGATCATCACGATGAGTACCAATACGAAGCTAGGAAGGGAATTCAGTCAACGCGCCCAACGAAAAAGACAAAGATTCCGAAGAACAGGCCCGAGCCGACCTTGAGCGAGATGTTCGGTCAGCTAGCTGCGGTCAACAAGAAGCTTGAAGATTGGATCGAATCGACCAAAGCATCGAGCACTCAAGCGGGCGATGCGAATCTCAGTACCATGACGATGTATAAGCGCTGCCTAGCCGCCTATGGGAAGGTGTGGAGCAATATCGACGACCTGGATAAGCCGATAAATAGCGAACCGGCACTCGAAGCTACTGGACGCCTGTGTATGGATCTAATCACATGGGCGAAACTAGCCGGAGTGTATTTAGAAGGGAAACATTCTCTCGACTACACAATCCGCGCAAGTCCCAAATTGAGAAACCAGGTCTTAAAGCATACCTTAAAGCCACTCATTAACATCGAAGCTGCGCTCAAAATGATGACCGAGATCGCGCAAGAAAAGGCCGCCCCACGAGAACAGCCGGTATCAGGATCGGCCCATGTCCCTACGACAGAAGACGGTCCTTTAAGCTGCCAAAATTCACAGATAATAAGGTTCGAACAAGCTCTCGGCTATGTTACCTACAACCAGGGTCTTCTTGTGTTTTAGATGACGCGCAGAAATGGTCCGCCGAACCAGGGGCCTCCTGAAGCCTTCACGCATCCAACTGGAAGCGATCATTGACCAGCCTAAAAATATTGCAAATGGGCCGAAGAAACTAGCCCTCATACAAGACATACGGGCTTTACAACTAAGCATCTAGATGATCAAACAGTTGAGCGAAGCGGCTCTCGTTTGGTCATGACGCAAGGAGATGCAACAGGTTATCGGGGATGGAAGACATGGCCCTGGAAGCTACATCAAATGTTCCCCAACCGCTGAATTAGTGGAGCTATCCTGGGCTCCATATTGATCGCTCTATGCGACGGAAATGCGCTACGGACGGACTTGAGCTATCTGGCGGGCTCGATGAAGATGGAGCTGGGTCGGAGTTCATCGTAGACTCATACGTCGGATGTATGCCAAGATGTCAGTACGTCTGCGTTGGGTTAGTGTCCTAGGGAAGGAGTAGGAGCGTAGGATAGCAGGCGCGTATTTAGGCAGGAACTTCACAAGACCTACCTCTTGGTGTGTACCCCTCCACAAGATGAGCATTGCGCAAGGGATGCGTACACCCGCACTGAAGCTGCACCTCTTTAGCTCCGCTCATAAGTTGTCAGGAAAAATTAAAGGCACCGTGAGCTCGCTGAAATTGAGTTAAGTTTAGGTATGGAGTGTTCGAGCCTTCCGTGTTGCACATGAGATCATAACTTTGACATTCAATTGCAGCAGCGCTCCAAGCTAGCTAAAGCAACCGAAGCATCTTGGGTAAAGCCAATATCGCGAAACTGCAGGTGTCCGGCGTAGGCATATTATAAATACAAAGGTGCAGATATCTCGGCTCCCATCCCATTAATAGTTCTGACGTGGAACCCCGCGCTGCTACTTCCTATTTGGGTAAGCACTTCCCCATGTGTATATCCGTTAGTATACCCCACTCCTTCCAAGGTGACCAACAAACTCAACCCCGCCCCTCACCGTACCAAACTTTGACGGTTACTCCCGTCGCGACTAGTCCGATGGGGCGTTTCAGACATCTCCTGTCTCGTTTGTTCTGCGGAATCTTCCACATCAAACCCAAGTACTCAAAGATACCTCGTCCGGATCCTACAATGGCGACAAAAGTCCACGAATACAAACTCCCTCCTACAGCCCTCATTCCTGACTCACCATACCCGCTGCTCCACTATCCCGGTCTTCTCTATGATATGGTGACCTCACCGCACTTCAAAACAAGAGAAATTCTCGACCTTTATGCATCGAATGGCTGGCAAACACAATGGATAGCGCAGTACGGAATGGATATACAATCGCACTACCACTCCACTACCCACGAAGCCATGACCGTTATCTCAGGCGAAGGCGCATGGATCCGTTTCGGCGTCGCCGACTCCCCGTCTTGGTCGCAGGGGAAATACGAACCGGGTGATAGAGGAGATGGAGAGGTTGGTGGCGTGGATATCAAAGCGGAACTGGGCGATGTCTTCATCATCCCAGCGGGGGTTAGCCACAAAACCTTTTTGCCGCGACCGCGGAACGAGGAATTGGCGTTTCACCAACCAAAGGATGTAGAGGAGGGGAGGGCGGCGGAGGTTGACGAGGAGAAAGAGGCGGAGAGGAGGAGGTTTTTTGAGAGTGTGGATATCAGCGGCGGGAAGTTTATGATGATGGGTGCGTATCCTTATGGCGGAGTTTGGGACTTCGCTGTTGGGGGTGAGCATGACGGGAAAGAGGGGGAGGTTTGGAAAGTGCGCATGCCGGAGAAGGATCCGGTGTTGGGAGATAGCGATGAGGGGTTGAGGGGGCTGTGGGAGGGTGTGGAGGAGGCTGGTGGTAGGGTGGTGATGGGGTTGAGGGAGTTGGGGTTTGGAGTTTGAGGTGTGATTGAGTGTGGGGTAACGACCGAAACGATCTCCTACAGTTCTTCTCATTTTCACGAGGACAGCTTCCTCCTTCATTCCCGGAGTCTCGATACCAAGTTCATCTCATTGCTGTTTCGCTCTGTCCACGCGCGGTTCTTTGCAGTAGAGCATGAGCGGTGATGCCGAGTCCATCTCCAGCAACGAAATGAGGTACAACTCGTCTACCAATATATTGAAATACACCGTATCCTTGCAACAGGTAGGTCTGAGAAGATGTGGTCGTGAAGTTCTCCGCCGCACGATTATTCCGAGACGGGTCCGACCTCCCCGAAATCGGCGCTAGCCTCCACTCCCGCCCGCGCGCCCTACGAGTGATCCATCAAGGTCCATCCTATATAACAAAAGGCAACGCCCCTAACCCTCACAATTTTGCGATTCTTCGCAGTTGAAACAGCTTTTTCATCAAGCTCACCTCTGGTTAACGCGACGTTGCCAAAGTGACTTGGGTAGGCACGATGCTGCCTCTTCTACGCCCCTTCCAAACACCCAGCCACGAGCCGGCACCTGATTAGCGCAATGCAGCAAGAGGAGGCACACAACACCAAGACAACTTAGGACCCCTCGCAGACCACTCTTGCTTCTAGAAGACGTTCACAAGGAGCGACGCTTTGCCAAAACCACCACCTCGCCGCGTATAACCGCCAAATTGCGACCATAGCCAAGCGACCGGAGTCCCTACCATCATTACCAACGCCAACACCCTCTCATTCAATCATGAGAGGGGTATACCAACACATAGAATCGTGGGAGCGACTGTACGCCCGACCCAGATCACTGGGCATCCAAGCCGCCAAGGCCAAGTGAGTGCCGCATAGCCGGACGCCCTCTGACTGATAGCAATCATTCGGCGTAACCTTACTCCCAGCTGGCTGACCGAGAACCTGTCCATGTAGGCAAGGTACTTCAATGGGAGTATTTGAGCCAGGTGGGCCGTTGTTCATCGGACGCGTGTCGCCAAAAGACACCTGGACGACATAACAATTACTGATGTAGATGCCCAGGTGAGTCTCGATGGTCACGTGTGTGACCACAAACGCACGCCGAGGCCATCGTGCTTAGACACCAAGACGTATCGGACCCCTCGTGGCTGACGGCCAATTCTGGTCCCACTCGTAATCCATAGACGGAGTCCGAGCATTACCCCAGATCTGGATGCGTCGAGCTCTGTCGCGTGCGCAAGCTTTACCGCGCGCCAAGATCAATACACTAGGACCCAAGACCGATTGGACTGACCAGACGATATCTCACCCACCCCCGTGGCTGACGCGCCAGCACAGGTTCAGCGCCATGTCCGAGATACATGCACGCCTGGTACAGAATCGGCAGTGGTGTTGAGCGCTCAGGATGGAGCGAACCAACCAATGTAGAGCTGCTGATCACCCAAGACCCGTTGTACCCGAGTAATAGGGTACGCCCAAGCTAGCTGAGCCTCTGCGCAGGATCTGGGGAAGCCTTGGATGCGAGCGCCACACCACTAGTGCTGTTTGTAGAAGGAAGGTGGGCGATTGCTTGGGCTGGGCACATGCTTGGAGAGATAGGATATGTGGCACGACAGTCAGATTGTAGGACTCTATATACCGGGATCTCACTGCGCAAATCTTACGGTGCGACTTTCACGTTTATCTCCGCAACTCGCCTTTACACGGTCGTGAATTGGCCCCGTCACTCTGTCAGGAGCGACAAACTCCTTTTCTCTCGTTCTCTACCCACTACACCCAGTCGTCAGGATGGCTGCAATCAAGAATATCCTCATGAAGCTCTCGCCAGCGGCGAAGAAGAGCGAAGATGGACGCGACATGTTCTCGAACCGCATTCAGTTCGTCCTCTGCGCCATGGGCGGTGCTGTTGGTCTTGGTAACCTGCTGCGCTTCCCATCGGTCGTGTACAACAACTACGGTCTCCAATTCTTCATCCCCTACTTCATCGCCCTCTTCTTCGTCGCTCTGCCGGTCCTGGTCCTCGAGATCGCACTCGGTAGTGTTTACCGTGGTGGCCCAGTGCTCGCGTGGCACAGCAACAACAAGCGCGCCAAGGGTATTGGTCTAGCGGTCGTCTTCAACGGCGTAGGTGGAATTGACTTGCAATACTAGAAAACATTCGCTGACTTTGCAATCTCATAGTATGTCGTGGTCACCTACTATGTGCCCCTCCTAGCATGGATCATGAAATACTTCTCCCGCAGTTTTCAAAGCCCTCTGCCATGGAAAGGCCAGGATCTCGAGGAGTACTTCGCGAACGTCATCGTTGCTAACACGGCCGCGGCTTCCACGGGTAGTCTCAATCCCGATGGTAGCGTCGCCTCGTACACTCAATACGTCGGAACTGGTATGCTAGGGGAAACCGCAGGATGGGCCATCTTCACATGGTTCGTCACCTGGTTGTGCGTCTTCAGGGGTGTTGGTATGACCGGACGTGTCATCTATGTTACTATGGGTCTTCCGCTCGTACTAATCATCGTTCTCATCGGCCGTGGAGTCTCGCTGCCTAATGCTGGAGAGGGCATTAAGCTTTACTTCGCGACATGGCGCACCAGCGCGCTCGAAAGCCCTCAGATCTGGCAAGCGGCTTTCGGTCAGATCTTCTTCTCTATCGGTGTTGGTTTTGGGTACGTTCAATGATCTATCTCAGAAAGGAAGTATACTGACGTATCTCTAGATACTTCACGTCGTGGGCATCTTACTGCTCTTCGCACTCCAACGCTGTACAAGATGCTCTTATTATTGGTTTCAGCAACTCCGCCGTCGAGATTATCGCAGCTTTCTCCGTCTTCGGTGTTGTCGGTTATCTGGGCATTGATCCCTCCAGCGGCACACAGCTCGGTACTTTTGTGACAGGATTCATCACCTACCCCGAGGCTCTTGCTCAGATGCCAGGCGCACCGTTCTTCTCCGTCGTCTTTTGTGAGTTTTGGAGACTTCTCTCCCAAACGAGAAGACCTTGCTAATCGTTCCTCATAGTCTTCACCCTCTTCCTCCTCGGTCTGACATCCGCCTTCTCCCTCCTCGAAGTTATGACAACACTCATCATGGACACGAACTGGGGCCGCAAACTTCCTCGCTGGGCCGTCTGCACCATTGTCACCGTTGTCTCTGCACTCATCTCCCTCATCTACTGCACCGAGTTCGGACTGCAGGCTCTCGATGCAGTTGACACCTACGTCAACGATGTCGCCCTCTTCTTCACAGTCTGGTGCGAGACCTTCGCCGCAACATCCCTCTACCGCTGCCGCGACGTCGCCCACCAAGTCGGTTGGCCCGGGTACCTCATCTTCACCATCGGTTTCGCCGTCGCCCAGGGTCTTGGCATTCGCGTCGCCTACGGCTCGACTCCAGGAACCGGTGCTGGTGTCGGTTTTGCCTTCTTCATCGTCAGCAGTCTGATCGCGCTCTTCGCCGCCCGAACCCCTGCTATCCCTGGCCCTCGCTTCTTCGGTAACAACAAGTTCCTGAGCCGCTTCTGGTGGGTCGCTTTCTACCCTGGACACCAGCTTACCCGGGACATGAATGTGACTATTGGCGTGGGAAAGAACTGGAACATTCCCTTTTACTGGGCTGTTATCATGAAGGTATGTCATCTCGTATTCCCCCAACTTTCATTGTAGCATTTCGCTAACTTGCCTTTTAGTACATCTCCGGTCCCATTCTCGCCATCGTCCTCTCCTTCGCCTATCCCAAGTTCACACAACAACACATGTTCGACCCCATCATGATCTACGGCTTCAGCATCGTGCACCTCGTGCTGCCCACCATCGTTCTAGGTCTGCTGATGCCATCGTGGTTCAACTGGATTATCCCATCTGAAAAGGTTCTTCTCGGTGACAAGCCAGTTGCGCCTTTGGAGACGATTGACAACACGAACGCCATTATGAGGATAGGCAGTGAGGAGACTGGATCAGCGCCGCCGTACGAGGAGCCGAAGATGATGGAGACGAAGTCGACGAAGGTTTGAGAGGCTTTTGTTGGCACTGGATTGCCCCTGCTTTCTGTTGTAATGATAGAGGGGTTGTAGCTGGTGATTAGACACACTCACTCGTATATTTGTAATTTGAACTAGCAATATACCAATCCACATGTCCACACTTCTTCACGTCCCACATATCCTTTCGCAACAGGCCCCCACTACATATCCTACCGCGGACTAGCCCTAACCAACCACGCCCTAATCCCCTCCGTATGCCTCCTAGGCAGCGCCTCCCACCTCCCCTCATCATACGTCTTATCCATCTCCCTCAGAATCCCCTGCGCCTTCCTCAACTGCAGTCTCTTCGCCCCCGCCCAAGGCGTCTTATCAATAAACGCATCCGCCTCCCCCACCAACTCCATCCGCTTATCCCTCACCTCCTTGCCATCTTCCTTCTCCGCATCGCACAACTTGCACTGACACCTGAACCCCCATGTCCGCTCCAAGAACCCCTGTCTGGTCTCGTAGTCAAGCGACGCGTCGTATGGATGGAAGATCTCCTCGCCGGCTTTGATGGGCTGGGTCGCCCGGATGATGATCATATCGCCTGCGAACTCTTTCGTCGTGTTGGAAAGGCAGGAATGGTTGATATAAGCCGCGTGTCGCCAGAGTCCTGTGCTAGCGTTCCTAGCACTTTCCTCGCCGAATTGGCTTCCAGGCCCGAACCCGTTCCGCGACATGATGTCGTGGACGCGGAAGACGTCGACGATGGCACCGTCTTCGTTGCTGAAGATTTGTGGGCCTTCGCCTTGGTAGTCGCCGAAGAGGTCCATCAGTTTTTCTGTTTGAGAAGGCTGGTTCAGACATTTCTGTACGAGTGCTTTTGCGAGACCGACGGGTGCGACGCGGATTCGGTCGTCGCGCGTGTCGTATGTCATGGCTGTCAATGTGTCTTCTTCGTGGCCCCAGACTACGCAGAAGGCTTTTTCACACATTACTATGTCGCCGGTGGCGAGGTCGCGTGTTGCGTATAGGCCGCGGCCTTTTCCGGGACTGTCTTTGATGAGCGTGTTTTTGGTGAAGTTTCCGGCGTCGACTCGGGAGCGGGCTTTGGAGAGGTTGGTGCGGATTTTCATGAGGTCGTAGCCTCCTGTTTCTTCTTCGCGGAGGCGTGCTTCGATTTTTTTGAGCGAAAGTTTGGCATCTTTGTCGTCGGGAGTGAGCTTTTGTTGCTCGAGGAAGAAGCCTTTCGCTTCTTCCCAGTGGCTTTGGGCGTAGGCGGCTGAACCGGCGCGGTAGTATGCTTTGCTGTCTAGTTCTTTGGACTTTTGGTCTTCGCGTCCGGTTAGTGAGGCGCGGGCGTCTGTCTTTACTTCATCCAGTCGGCCTAGTAGCAGGTTCACGTATGCGCGATTCCGGGAGATGTCGCGGGCTAGATCGGGGTTCGATTCTGCTAAGATGTCTTGCTTTGCGATCGCTAGACCTGCTGTGTACTTCTCATGGGCCAATGGGAGATCCTGCTTTTTGAGCGCGTTGTTCCCTTGAGTTTTGAACCTTGTAGCTGCCTTTTCTGCTGCTGCTGCATCCTCGAAGCTCTTGGGGCCTTCTTCATGGCAAATGACCAGGTCTGAGGGATGGTCGATGCGTAGTGTAGGCTCGCCCTGTTCAGTGAGGGTGAAGTACGGCTCCTTGATGATGAAAAGTTTGGTCGACTCCAGTACATCCTCGCTATACCGCGATTTATGCAGCAATATCTCGAGACGCTCTGCATCGTTTCCATCTTCATTCTGAACCATAGTCCATGACCTCGCTACGAGTGTGACTACAGGGCTTTCGCGCTTGACTACCAGTTTGCGGCCACGGTGATGCGTCTCCATCTTGAGGTCTGACATCTTCATCGGTTCCAAATCTGACAGTGGGGTCGTGCATGGCGGATACGGCCGGCCTACTCCGATGACTGGAATCGTTGTCGATGTCTTCCCTTGGGTTTGCAGCATATCGGGATCTGGCGCACCTCCCATATCTGCCATCAAGGCTGCACCGGTGGCCGCTTGGTGAGCAGCCAACTTGTCTCTTGGAGCCTTTGCATTGCCGCTCTGCTCTTCGCACTTTTTTAACCGGTCTTTGATGGTGTTCTGGATGCGTTCCGCCTCTTTCTCTGTGAGGTAGATTGTGTTATCTTCTCGTTGACTATTCGCCATCTTTCCGACCTGTGCCGTCGAGCCCCGACCGGCTTCTGCAGATTGGTTACACAGCGGTGCTGGGGTCCTTCTTCGCCCACCAGAATTTCGACCGTTTCCGGATGACTTCGCTGACAGTCCTAGCCGTCAAGAACTGCGCAACGAGCTGGCGAAAAAACCCAAAAGAGGAGATGAGACGAAAATGCGCGACGGGGCACCCTGAATCTGAGATAACAGAATTTATTTCTGGTTGAGTCAAATTCTCTTTCACTTGAAGTTTGACACCACACGCGCAGGCGCATTCGGAGGGGTCGAAGCTAACTGAAATTTGTTATCGATAAATGCGGGGCTAGTCGCGACACCTTGGAAAGCGGAACTTGAAGCCGCCCTTGAAGTTTACCAACGCCGAACAATAACCGTGCCAAAGAAAGACCATCATAACCTACTTCCACACACTCGAACTTTCTGCACCCGCCTCTTTCCCCTTTTGATAAGTCTCACTCAGACTGTTGTATAGACTCTTGACCCTGTCGATCTCACCGAGTAGCCGCTTCCTCTCGTTCTCACCTTCAATCTCCCCAACGACATCGGCAAAGCTCTTCGCAGTAAAGAACTTGTTCTTGCGGTTATAAAGCTGCCTGCTTTGTACCTGCTCTTCAGAATCGCCCTGTCCTTGTACCCGAAACACCTCTTGCAGGATGTCGATATCGTATGGTATTCCGAAGAGATCCCTACTATCCTCGTACGTGAACAGATAATAGAACTCGTTGAAACCAGCCCATGTGATGCCGCTCAGACACAGCGAACATGGCTCATGGGTAGCGAGGAAGATGCAGTCTTTGGCTGGATGCGGCCGCGTTGATGGGTCAGGAAAGTCGACTGTGCAGAATTGTTGGATGCAGTTGATTTCGCCGTGCAAGAGGGGTGAGATGCGTTCGTTGTTCGTAGCGAGAGTGTATGGTGTGAGGTCTTTGCGAGCGATAATGGCAGCCCCGAAGAGTTTAGAACCGCTCGAGACGCCTTTCTGCGTCAGAGGTATGATGCTCTTTTCGATGATAGATAGCAGGCTTGAGACGAGGTCCTCGGGCGGCGATATTGCTGAAGTTGTGTGGGAAGACATCTCGTGAACGCTGAGTCGAATGAACGAAGATCGAGTTCATAAAGTTCGCGAAGTCAGCCTTTGGGTTATATGGCTGTCAATTTAGACTGCAGGTCATGCATCCGCTTATCGTTCAATAAGTCCCTTGATGGCGTTACTCTCGATCTACATGTCGGGGGCTACCGGTGGCGCACGACGCGGGGCTTCCCGATAGACCTACAGTGGGGCGCTGCCGTCCGCAGGCGTAGACTCATGGCTCTTTTCATTTGTGGTTCTACACGGTCTCTTCGTACGAAGGCTCGCACCAGAAATTGTGATTGCGCGCAATGAACATGCTGCACAAGGCCCGTGGTTAATCGATCACAAGTGCGTTCACACTCGATGTGCAGCTCTTTTGGTCAACGAATCTGAATCACCTCTGGCTGCAATCCACCCGACAGTAGATCATCGAGTGGGTGAGGAATGCCTTCCATCTTCTTCCTGTTCACAGCTGCCATGTATGGGCCGCCAACGATACGATAAAAGTCATCCTGTGGACGCAAGATCATAGGACAATCGGTGTTCCACAATAGGGCGACATGATCCCCAGGCTGAGCGGCGGCCGGACACGATCCAACGTAGCCCTGCTGAGTGACAAAGAACCTTTCCAGAAGGGGACGGTCGAGTTGGTCTCGGTCTAGTAGGAATGGGTCTTGTTCAATTGCAGTTTCGCTCTTCTCCACCAGCAGCTGCGCCATGGATCTTAATATGGCATGCTCTCCGTGCTTTGTATATCTCGCTGTCGCCTCTGGAGATCTTTTGCTCGGGTCTTGATTAGCTGCATAGAAAAAGCTTACGTGGTTTTCGGAAGTCAAGCAGTAGGTAGCAGCTTCGCAGAAGTCTTCCATGACGGCCTTGTATTCGTTGGTCGCTTCTTTAGGCCTGATATGCTCTTCCCAGAAGGTTTCCATAATGGGCTCCGGGAATATGAACTGCATGGAGTACATGATGTCGGAGAGAGCGATAATTCTGTCTAAATTGGCGCTCAACACGTTAAGAGTGTCAATAGCGAGCGGATCAAAATCTGACCGCAGTGCAGACAATCCCTCAGGAACGGATTCTGTGAACGATATGCTATTCCCTGCGATGAGACCGTCCATTTTACAAAGTTTACGCAGAGCGTAACAGAGCGGGAAGATGTTGTAAAGAGCCAGATCCCAACGTGGTGACCAGGACGGTACGTCGCCTGGCTTCCACTGTCCCAGCTGTTCCCCATGTTGGATTGCTAAGAAGATGTCTTCCGTCATGTCTCGCTGCAAGGCTCTGATAGCAAATTGCCGATAGACATGCTCCATGGGTAAAGTGTAGTCCGGTATGGTAGCTTTAAGGAGCGATTGTCCAGCTGGATCTGTTGCTGCCCAACGGTCATCACCGCATTCTAGTCCCAAGATCGCAAAGATCCGATCGCGACTGTCTGAGCATCCAAATGCTCTGGCCGTGCGGATCGTTCCCATAAAAGTCGTCGCGTAGCATCGCTGGTCCTTGATTGCAGACAATCGGGATATGGGTTCGAGTATCCGATAACTGTATGGCCTGTAGGGCCACGTCGCGTCTGACTTTTGAAGGTTGCTGACAGCCAGGTTGATATAAGTCCATTGTAATTCTTCCGCGCCCCACATGAACAGCAAATCCTTTGCGAGAGCAGACTCCTGTATGATCCAAACACGGCACCACCAGGGAATCTGACACAAGTTGTGGAAGGAGTGCCATTTCTCCGGGAATCTGTCCTTGAACAAATCGATTCTTGTCAATACAGCCTCAAGCTCTTTAGAATCCATATGTCGCTGGCCCAGCGCTACACAAATATCGAACGCGTCACGGGCGAAGCCATGTTCATCAGGGCCTAGCCATACCAGGACTCGATGCGCATTACGGAAGACACGTTGCATAAGCTGCACTTGATGCGACTTCTCGACATCGTCAGCCTGATTGATACATAGTCCGTCGATCCATACTGTCCGACGCCGATTCGGTAACCGAACTCGTAAGAGAGCCCCGTGCAGACTGCGAGTTACTGGAGTGACCATGGAATCGCAATTGACCGAACATGACAAATCCGAGTCACCCCAAACGTACGAAATGGCCTCATACTCCGGATCGTTGTTGAGGTCGCAATGTTCCAGGCTGCACGTGAGAGGATCTGTTTCGGAAGCAGGATGAACGTGCAAAACCCGAATTGATGTTGGCGAAGCTAGCTGCTTGTACATGGCGTAGGAGGATTGCTGAGTTATCGTATGGATGAGCGTGCACTGGACAGTCTTCTGGGAGCTGAGAGTCTTGTAGGAAGGCAACAGCGTCTGCACAAAGATGACAGCTGCAGAATAGATGATAGGCCAATGATACGCCTAACAGACCTCTGCCTTGCATGCCTAGGTGCAGAGGGCTGGTCAGAGGCTATTGGGTCTAGGGCGGAGAGGCGCATGGTCATGGGGACAAAAGTTCAGCCCCAGCGGCCCAGAAGTTATGAGGCGCATGTTAGGTTCGAGCTGCATGGGGAAAAGTAGTTGGAGATGGAATGCAAGTAGCTGCCAGAATGCAGACGAGATGCCCAAGTGCTCAGGTGGGCCCACTAGCGGATCACGTGTGGAGACGCGGAACGCGCTCGACGCGTCGTGCTTCCTGACATGCTTCACCACCTCAGTCATGACAACGAGCCTAGACGACACCCATGCGCAAATGGAAGAGAATTTGTATGTTTACATGGAAGTTTGATTAATTACTCGATCATCGCTACAGCACCCTCATAAATCGACAAACTCACCCTTCAGCAGCGGATCGTCGCGCACCTGCTGCAAGTAGCTCTCCACCTTGGCCGTCAACGCAGGCACATCGAATCCGAAATACTTATAAGCAGCTTTGCCCGGCAAACTGTGACCGAAGCGCTTCATGCAGCAAGCCGCGTCAGCATACCTCTCCCACCCATTGGGCGCGAACGGCTCGATGACGACAGCCGGAATGCCTTGATGCCTTCGCAGCGTGTCCCGCTTGTATTGTGTGGGTTGCGCATCAAACAATCGCTGACATGGGAAGCTTACGACACGCGCCTTGATGTTCTTCGTCTTTAGCACTTTCGCGGTATCAATAGCATGATGCAGCTCTGCACCGACACCGATAAGCGTCACGTCCGCATCCTCGACCTCTTCGATCACGTATGCGCCCTTCGCAACCAAGTCCCGATTCGTTTGCGGTAGTTGAGGAAGAGTATGCCGAGACGTCGAGATGATGCTCGGTGTATTCTTCGCCTCGATCGCTGTGATCCACGCGCCTGCCGTCTCCTCGCTATCGGCCGGTCGAATGTACAATATATTGGGCATAGCGCGGTAGAGGTTGGCGAGCTCGATCGGCTGATGGGTTGGGCCATCTTCGCCCATACCGATACTGTCGTGTGTGGCGGCATGAATGACCTGAAGGCGTTGCAGCGCACCCATGCGAACGGCTGGGGCTGCGTAGAGGTAGAACATGAAGAAAGAAGATGTAACGGGGATAAATGTGTTTGGTGCGTATGCTGCCAAACCGTTGGAGATGGCGGCCATGGCATGCTCTCGCACACCATAGTGGATATAGCGTCCGCTGTAGTTGCCGACAATACCACATGTGGTCTTTAGGTCGGGCTAGGTGGAGTTAGCGACCGCTCTTCAACCGAATGAGCCAAGCTTACATTTTGGAAGTCGACCTTGCCCTTCCAGTTCATGTTGACTGAAGGCGTCAGATCAGCGGTGCCGACCATGAAGTTGTTAATCTTCTCCGCAATCGTGTTGAAGACAAGTCCTGACGCTTTCCTTGTTGCTGTAGGCGCCTCCGGAAACGAGCTTGGGACTAAATCCTTCCAGTTGTCTGTCAGACGACCTTCGACCCGGCGCCTGAACTCAGCACCCTCCTCTGG